GACTCAAAAGAAACCACTGGAGAAAATTTAATAGAGAGCATATGGATATAAATGAATTAAAAATCTAGATCCAGTCTACGAAACTACTTCTAGCTAGGCGGCAAACACCTCAATTCAGTGCAGCCAAATCAGTAAAGCATGATTTAAAAAAAAAAAAAAACAAAAAAACTTTGTTTGTTAATTTTTACCAGATTTTTGGTTTATATTTGTTATACTTTGCTTTCTCTCTGCTCTTCCATTCTGGTATTAAAATATCCTGATTCTTAAAACAACAGCCTTCACATCTGGAGCATGTGAAACTACAGGTCAGCAAAACAAAATGCCTTGCCCTGCACTTACACAAACATCCATCTTTAAATGGTCCAGAATCTGGCTTACCAGGAGGTGAAGAGAGTGTTATCACCATGACTGATGGCTATGTTTTCACAGCTTCTTTTAGGTCTATTTAATAGCCACTCAAGTTTAAGTTCTCCCAATGGAGAACAGCCCTTTAATTGAAGTCTGGAGTCTCTATTCCATTAAAATCAAGATACAACTTCTGACCTGCATGTGGGTTTCAAATAAGGGACACTTGCACTAAGTTGACATAAAGTCCCAGGTTGGCAAAATGAGCAAAAAAATCCCAAGATACATGCACATACTTAAATAAACCATTAGTCAGCTCCTCCACGGTTCCCTGCCACTGGGCAACATGCATATGACAAGTACAGCTTTGTTTGGGGTCTTAATCTGTCAAATAAATGCAAGAATAGCAACAGAGCTGATGAGTCCCGTTCTCCAGTTCAGTAGTTCACTTCAGTTATCCCCACACTGATCAGCTTACACCTTCTCAACAAATAAAACAGTTAGAATGCAACCATGAAATACACGTGCTGAGCCAAGATAGCTGAAGAACTGTGCCAAGTACATCCCCAAGTTCTATACACCATGATAAGAGATCAGCTTCACCCAACGTTGTACAACACAGACATCTAAAAAATCTGCAACTCTGAGCCACTCTACAACCACAGCAGCATCCATGGGATTGACAATAAATCCATTTATGGCACACCATTCTTGCTCTGAGATCACAAATTTTCCAAATTTGTTCTTGTTTCCAGAGCTGACAGTATTTTAACATCAACAAGCATACATACAAGGCTGCTCAAATTAGAAACAATTTGTGTGAAATTGCTATGCAGAGGCAACAGCAAGTTTCAGCTCCAGGAAAGCTCCATAGATGTGTAAGCATCGTTCAGTGAGAAACAGGGCTTTAAACTTTCAGTTTCTGAATAGCAATCTCCCAGGGATCTCTTCTCCAAAGAGCGCTAAGAAAGGTAAATATTAGCTTTTCCTATGCCCCAGTTCTGACCTACTGCTGACTATTCCCCCTCCAAAAGTGACAAGTTAAAAACTTACACATTAATCTTGTTTGTTTTTTAGTTTAAACACATGCTTTCAAGCCTGGCTGGAAGCTTGTTCACCACCCATATGTCACATGAAGAATCACTTTTTAACACCAATGGCAGGCACAGAAATCCCAATTTGAACCGAGAGCTTTCAAGTGTTTCTCATATCTTTGAGCTTATTTGAATGTTTGAATCACAAAAACATCACTGCATTACTAGGTTAAATACACACTGCACACAAACAACTATTCACTATTCCCCTTCTCCATCACTTAACAGAAACTGAGTGCATACCTCCTTTGGAAGCTAGCATATAATTTAACACCACGTTTGTGATTTCAGTTGATTTTCTTAAAATCATATGAAAAGAACGATGATTGCCCATGTATTTTTTCTCCCATGACAGCCAGTGGAAAAACAACTTATCCCTCCAGTAATTGCCACATGCACAAAAGCAATATGCTACGAAATGCAATGCCTGCTCACAAGCACAAACAGACAACAAAGTCCTATTTCATGCACACACCAGGGTCCCTTCTGAAGAACATGTTCTTCACTGTTACATCCCTTGTCACTGGAATTCCTTCCACACGCGCATTTGCTGCCCTTTGTTATAAAATGTGAGGTTGATGGAGCCAAAACAGCACAACAGAATTTTGTTTCCGCCATTTTTAGTGAAATAAAAGACAGATGGAATACAATTACACTTTTTGTCACTTTCTATTCTCTGGCACATTACATAACCACCAGCATGAGTGTCCACCAGATCTCTGAAGAAAAAGGACTTCTGACTTCATTTACTTCTTGTAGTCACCACAACTTACCAGAACAGAGCCCTCCTCTCTGAAAAGCAAAGTCCCTGCAGCCCCTATGTTCAAAATCTTATACTACTTTTCCACACCTTTCAGCACCAAAAACCACTCCATTTAGGAAAGGCACATTATTTGCTCTTTTACCTTTTTTGCCTCTAAAACCTGGTAGCTTCTGCTTTTCCATGCTTCCTACTCACAAAGAAGTTCTCCACCTGCACAACAGCCACCAGGTCAGACACATCAGTAACAATCACCATCAGTACCTACCGGCTCGCTACCAAGAAACAGACCTCATAACATGGAGAGATGACTTTCCATAATGTTACCAGCACAGTATCATTGAAATGTAGGTCCTAGCTTGCAGCGCTCTTTAAAAAGGTCTTAAAAAATCATTCACGATGTCGTTTCAGAAAAATGCATATAAGATTATTCAAATAAAAACAATATTTATGATTTGATTGATTGTATGCAGTACCCTGGCAGTAGTATCACAGTGGTTTATTTTTATTCCAGATTGGTTTTTACTATAAGAAGTTCCATCGCTATGAAACTAATGCTTGCAACATTGATTTCCATGGCACTGCTTAGAAAGACTCCAGAAGAATAATGTGAATGTCAGGGCGTTTTATGTAGCAGCAGCAACATTCTGCAAGCAGTCTGGGCAGAGGACTTGCTCCGGGTTATTTTGAGTATTATCTGCAATATTCTACCAAAATGAGCAGGGCATCCGTACCGTGAGACGTGGTGAGATTCTGAATAGTCAGAAGGACACCAAGGAACACTCAGCAGAGCGACACTGAACAGCCCAGCAACTTGGGAGCCCCATGTATCATTTTGTCAGCGTGTTGTGCAATAGTTTCAAAGGTAGAAAATTAAATCTTGCATAAAAATAATAATAATAAAAAAAGACCTGACCTGAACCAACAATGCAAGCCAGGAAATTGAGTAAAGGCTTCAGGACCACTACACAGTCCTCCCAAAAGAGCACCTTGGTATGCCTTAATGTCTCTCTTACAGACAGAGGACAATGTCTCTTGGGATCTTCCTTAATTGTCCAGCATGAGATCAGATCATCAAAGAGCCATTCTAAATGCAATGGACACACAATCCCTGAAAGAGCATCTTGGAAGGAAGAAATATCTTTATTGACGCGTGTTTTCACAGTACAAATATTCTGTATTGAATAGACCAAAAATCTGACCAGGATCCCTTCCGTGGCTTCAACATGGATTTTCAACAGAGATTTTGTTTTGATAGTAGTCCTTTTAAACACAATACTAATCTTCAAGATTAGCAAATAGAGCAGTAGCATCAACAATAAAAACTCTTACTAGATCAAGAAGAATCCTCCAGTTGATCACGCTGCCTGCCCTCAACAAAACTGAGCAAAGAGTCTGGCTACAAGAACGTCAGCCCAAATGCAAAGCATTCAGAACAGCTGCATGAAGCTTTACACTGAGAAAACAGAAATAGTAGCAAGCAATTATTCAGCCAGCCAACTACTGTCACTTCCATGAAGTTGAACAAGCTCCAATACAGGACACCGAGCTTCTGCAAAGAAGATCCAATTGCTCAGGGTTAATCTGTGCCAATAAATGAACTCTCTGGTGTCTGACCACATCCATGTGGTCAGTACTGTTTTAAAATCTCCTTCTTTTTCACAAACAGTTTTATTTTCATGCCTCCTTGCTAAGCTTTCAGAGCAGTAGGAGGAATCCCATTAATGGGAAAGGTCCCTTGAAAAGGTATACTTTGCTGTTTCTCTTGAATGTGCATATTAACTAGGACCCACACTGGGAGAAAAGACAGCAGAAGAAATTGTTTAGAGTTCATGAAAATTAACATTTGGTGTAATTTTGTAGCTATAATTTGCATGTACACAACTTACATAAAAATACATATGGATTAATGCAAATTTTCATACAGAGAAAGATTCACTCTGTGCTCTGCAGAACTAGGGGCAAGGCTGGTGATGAATCATTTTTTTTAATATTCTAGTTTGGGTATATAAATAGCTCTCTGTTTCTAGAATAATTACTACTGGAAAACACAGCTTCTGAAATAATATAAGCCATAATTAACCTTGGCTTCATTAAATCAGAAATAATATATTTTTCAAGTCTTATTTGTAAAGGCAAGCTGATTAATTTAAACGTTTCCCTTTGGAAAAAAAAAAAAAAAAAATCTAATTGAAATGAATTACCTACGTTACTACTTGTCAGATCTCCTGAACTCTGGAAGGCTTCAGCCGGTTCCCGGCTACCTGACCGACTGCCTGCCCCGCTGCCAGGCGAGGGCTCGCTCCTCTCTCAAGAAGCGCCGCGCCGTCCCGCCGCCTGCCCACCTTCGCTCTCTCCGGGTGGCTGCGGAGAGCGACGCTCCGGGCCAGGCGTTGCCTTCTGCCCCGCCGACCCCCCATCCTCCCGCCCGCTCCGGTGCCGGCCGAGCCCCACCGGGCGGGGCCCGTTCTTCTGCCCTGCCCACGCGTGGGCTCCGGTGCGGGCCGCAGCAACGGAGAGCAGGGGCGCCTGCGGACTCGGGAGCGTCGCGGAGCCCCCGGCCCCACCGGCTCTGCCGCTGCTGCCCCCCGCCCATGCCGGGCTGCCCCTGCGCGGCGCTGCACGGCACGGCACAGCGCTGCAGCCGGCGCACCGCACCGTCCTTCTCTTTCCTTGTAAGACAGCGCCAACCCCCGACCGAAGAAAAGTTTCCAAGCGAGCCGCAGGACCGAGACTCCCTCCCCGCTAACAGGACGGACCCTTCTCCCCGCCCGTCTGCGCCGTGCTACCCCGGGGCTCACCTTCCTGCACCGCATGGAAGGGGTTGTTGGCCTCTATGAGCTTGATGGAGTAAGTGATTTTCTCGCTCTGGAGGATGTCGTCATTGAGGTTCAGATCCGACACCGCCTGCTTGAACACCTCGTCGTCCTTGGCAGCATTGCCCTCAAAAATGGCACCTGTGGGGAACAAGGAGGCAGAGGGCTGTGAGGGCTGTGCCCGCTGCCCACCCGGAGCTCCCCTGGCCGTAGTAAGGCCGTACCAGGCTCTCAAGGTGCCAGCGGGGCTGCTCCCCCGACACTGCAGGCCCGGGGAGAGCGACCGCTCCCTCGGAGACGGGATGGGAGCGGGCCTGGGAACGGGAGCAGTCTGTGCTCACGGCGCACCGTTTGCGGCTCTTGGGGCAGCGCTCCGGTCCGGGGCCGAACACCCACACAGACGCGAAGGCTCTGCGGCCGGTCACCTGAACGCTTCCATTTCACTGTCCTGCTTATGCACTTAACATGAAAACATCTGGCGCCGTGCGTTACGTAAGATGCCCTATGCCGAGCATGTGTGTGCACGCACCACTCTTAGTGCCCTGCTCTAGGAGCGATGGATCTGTCGTGCTGGCAACCAAAGCTTTCCCTAGGCTCTGCGAAGCGCTGCCCGGTGCGTGCCGGGGCTGAGAGCCTCCGTGCGCTGCCCCGCACCGCACAGCTCCGCGTACAGCGCTCTCCTGCTGCTCGCCGGAGCGTTCTCCAGGGAGCGAGAAACGCTGCTCGGGCTGAAGTTTGCGCGGGGAGAAGCGGCGGTGACGCCGCGCCCCCATCGGAGACGCGCGGCCAGGAAACGGCGAAGCGGGGCTAGCTCATTCTCCCGGCTCGGGCACTTCCCCAGGGCTCTAACCCAGCGGGTCGGCCTAGGGGACAGGTGGCGCGCCGGGCTCCGTCCAGCGCTGGGTAGCGCCCCGGGGCCGAAGCCGCCCTGCCCCCGCTGCGGTCAGGGCTGACCCCGTCTCCTTAATGGCTCCGCAATGCTGTCTGCCTTGGCTGCGTCCCCGGGCTCCGGAGGCGCGCGGCGCAGAGCGGAGCCTCCCCGGGCGGCCCGCCGGACCCCGCTCAGCCCTTCCCTTCCCTTCCCTTCCCCTCCCCTCCCCTCCCCGGGCCGGCGGGGGACTTTCCGCCCACAGCCGCGGAACTCCCCCAGCCAGGATTGCTCCTGCCCGCCCCCCTCCTGTTTTTTTTTTTTTTCCTTCTCATTTCTTTTTCTCCTTTTATTCCCACCCCCAACCCCCCCACTCCCCACACACACAAAGGGGCTGGTGGGAAGGACGGCTCTTCATTCCCCGGCCGTACTCCCGTCTCCTCCCCTACCATCTTCCACAAGTGATCTTCTCCCCCTCTTCGCCTCTAAGCATCCTCATTTCTTTCCTGCTGGTACCTTCCGACACCAGCCAAGAGGTGACTGCAGAGCCTCGCTTGCGCTCTCCAGGCTTCCCGCGGACATTGCCGTGCTCGCTCCCAGAAGCCGCAAAAGTTCACATCAGCCTTTCCTTTGCCTCTCACTCATGCCCCTCTTCCTCCCACCGCCGATCCAGCCTCCTTACTGCCCAGGGGTTTTAATGAGATCTTACTCAAACCACAACAGTTGCGCGCACAGCCACACGCACACGCGCGGAGCCGCCGCAAACCTCGCCTCTCTAACCCTTTCCCAGCCAAGTTCTCCCCTCGCGTTCCGGCTCGGCTGCCACCTGCTATGGCAAGGGACGAAGACCGAGGGATTATCTCCCCGAAAGTTTTCCCTCCTAGCACGTTCAGACGATGCCTCTCTGTGCCCGGGTTCCGGGGGCGGCTGTTTGTTTTCGGCGGCGGGCAGGAAGGAAGGAAGCGTTCCCCACGCGAGCGGCTCCGAGCTCGGTTCCCGGCCCCGCGGGAGACCGCGACGGGGCGCCAGGGGGCCCCTGCCCCATAGCCCGGCCCCGGCGCACAGCTCGCCCTTAGCCCCCAACTTTGCGATCCGGGGGTCCGGATCCTTTCCCCGCACCCTCCTCTCCCGTCTCTCCGCGGAGTTGGGCTCATTCGCTGCCTGAAAGATGACAGTGGTCGAACGAGAAGATCCCTTCATTTATTTATCTACCGCGTCCCTCTCCGCCGCCCCCCCCACCCCCCGACCAACCCCCCGCGTTCCCTCTCTTACCGATGTGGATGATGGAGTCCGCCCGCACCGAAACGCACTGAAATATCCAGGGGAAAAGCCAGAGCATCAACACTTCCATTTCCAGCCTCTCGCACTGCACATCAGCCCGGGCTCGGCGGAGAGGCAGGCGGGGGAAAAGAAGAAGAAAGGCGCAAGGGCAGGTGGAGCAGGCGGCGCGGGAGGGCGGGATGCCTCGACACCCCCCGTAGAAAAATAATCCCAAATTCGCACGGAACGCAGACGATTCTCCGAGATGGAGGGAAGCGGACGACGCGGAGAGGAGAAGACGGGGCCGAAACGGCGCGGCGGTAGATCCCGGCTTGGCAGGCGGCGCGACGGAGCCTCCAGCGCTCGGTGTGCGCCGGGGCGCCGGCAGACCGCGAACTGCGGAGCGGCCCCCCCGCCGCCGCCGCCGCCGCCCGCCCCCCGCGCCACGTGACTGCGGAGCCTCGGCGCTCGGTGCCGCCGGGGCACGGCGCGGCGGGGTGCGGGCGGTGGGCGCCCGCGCGGCGCGGAGGGGGACTTGGCGGCTCAGCGACCGAGCGGAAGGGCGCTGCGAAGCGGAGAGGGGGGGGACCGGCCGCTGCGAGGCACGGAGGGATACGCTGGGAATGATGTTACGTATCGCGCGCGTACGGCTGCCGGGCTGAGCGGGGCCGGGGCTCCGGGCGCACGGAGGAAAGCGGGGGGCGAGGGGATGCCGGCAGGTAAGGGCGCGGGGTTCGGGCCGGGCTGGAAAGGGGAGATTTTCCCTCCCATCCCCCCCACCGCACTGGGAGCAAAGAGGTGGGGAGAAAAGTGGTGCGGCAAAACCGCTGCTCGGTTCGGTTTGTTCTAGCTTTCAATGAAATCTAATTCATAAATCGGACGTGCTCGGACTCAGAAGACTAATTCATCCCCTAAAACAAACGCATCAGTGATTGCAGGCACCCAAACGTGACGAGCGTCTCAATACGCCAAGGATCCAAAGAAAACAAATTCATTCAGGAGCCCGAACCGTAATTAAAACCGCTGCCAAGAAGAGGACCCGCGAGCAGGATGTTACCAACGCTATCAAGTTGCTGCGGGGCCGGGGCGACACATACAGAGAACGTCAGCGTTCGGATAACGCGAGGCACGGCCATTCCCGGAGGTCGCCGCCTCGGCAGCGCCGGGCTGCTGCGGCCGGACCTACCCGGGAGGGAGCGGCGTGGCGGCCGGGACGGCGGGCAACGAGCGGGCAGCGAGCGGCGGGGCTGAGCGGAGCAGCTCCGCGCAAACGCGCTCCGCCGCCACCCGCGCTGCCGGGCAAACGCAGCCCGCTTCCACTGCGTGAGCCTCGTCCGGACCCGCCGAACGCTCCGGATACTTCGTATCTGTCGCTCGCCCGAGGGAGTGCTGCAGCGTGTTTATTTAATAGAGAAAGCACAATACGGCAAAACCGCTCAGCGCTGAGGAGCGGCAAACACAGACAGGGTTTACGGTGACTGGGGAGGGCAGGCGGGGAAGGGAACGGCTGGATGGAGCTGGAAGGAGCACTGTTGCTCCTCTCGGGCGCGGGGAGGTTACGGAGCGCCTAGGAGGGGGGAAAGCGGCGGGCAGATAAAAGCCGAAACGCTTTTCGCAAATAAATCACTCGGTAACAGCTCTTACTTACAGTCCCTGCCCTAAATATGCGATTTCACACTGGTCGATGCAGAATGATTAAATACCATTCGCCATATTTCACATAATAAAAACGCTTAATCCCGATAATTGGCTTCTGGGACAAAGATCAATAGAAATGTTCCTTATTTGACTACGTTAGCGAGCCAAAATTAATTCTGATCTACATTTGCTTCAAATCAATATGCACTTAGTGACTTACATGGGCTCTTCAAAAAGTTAAACACCTGTATTGACCACAGTCATATATATGTCAGTAATGAGTCCACATGGGGGGCTTATGGGGAGTGGAGAGGAAGTATTTTCACAGCCTGCTGGGGAAAGTCAATTTATCTGTGTTGGGAACATGCTTTGGGATCCTAGCCATGAAACCTGTAGAAATATATAGCCATGAACCCTGCTATTTATATGCAAGCACCCATATCCCAGTCTGCTATACTCCCAGCACTTGGGAGCAGGCCTGCACAGTTTGCACAGTGGCCCTGACCTCAGCTGGGACTCCTCTGGCTTCTGGATCCATCAGACCCAGAGCTGAACTGCAGCTTCAGTAGCAGCTCCACAAGATGGGCAGTTGTAGCATCAGAACTGTTGCACCTTGCTGTGCCTCATCTAAATCAGGCCTTAGAAAGTTCTTTTTTAATTTGGGTCAGATTACCCAATCCCATTGTTACCCACTGTTCATGCTTAGCCCTTCTTTCCTTCCTTCCCTCCCTACAACAAAGGTACCTATGTTGAATGGGGGAGCCCCATAAAAACGAGCGTTCATTTCAGTTCTGCCATTCACCACTCGGCGGGCGCTGACATTCTGTGGTTGGGTGCATGTTGTTTGGACACAGCGGTCAGCACTAAAAGGCTCATCCATTTGCCAGTATTTGGCATATTAAGAACATTACAAGCTGCCACGATACTCCATCAACACGGTGCAGGGGACAGTTTGTTACACATTACTGCGTAAGGCACCGCTAGATTTACAGCACCCACAAAAGAAAGGCCTCTCATTCCAAATACCAAATAAATATCCAACTCAAGCAATAGTAACTATTCAAAGATCAGCTCCTTGGCAACAGATGCAATTCTATGCACATCTCTAACAGCTATATTACCTTTGCAAAGCACTGTGGTGATTTTAAGCTAACCTATCATGAGGTATCACTCTGCTCGTTTCTGTTGTCAGAGTGAATGTGGAATGAAACTTGTACCAAGAGAGTTTTGCTACCAGCAGAGAATGTGTTGGACAAACCTCTGTGAACTACATCGCAATTGGAAATGCTCACCTTTTTAGGCCTGCACAGTGCCATTCAGAGCTTGGCTTAGCTCTCTGTTCCTCCCTGCTGCATATTCTGAAAGGCAGCTCCAGAACTACAGCTGCAGAAAATGCCTGCATGGGAAAAATCCCTGATGTTTGCTAAGCATATACCACAGGATGAATAAAGCTGCTCCCTAAGCAAGTGATCTGCAAGACCAGAAACCTGAGAATTTTACTGGATCACTGCCTATGCTTAGAACACATGGGGTGCCTTTAAGATGCACAGAGTGGCCCAAGTTGGAAGGGACCTCAAGGGTCATAAATCTCCAACCCCCCTGCCACATGCAGAGACACCAACCTCCATATCTAATACTAGATCAGGCTGCCCAGGGCACCATTCAAACTGGCCCTGGAACACCTGCAGGGATGGGGCATCACAGCCTATTTGGGCAGCCTGTGCCAGCACTCTCACAGTAAAGAACCTCCCCTGATATCCAACCTAAATCTTCCCTCCCTCAACTTAAAACCATTTCCCTTGTCCTTGTCAACCTTGTCCATTATCCCCTTGTCAACATTTCTCCTGTCTTTTTCTAACCATCCATCTGCTGTAGCTAAGCTAAGACTTCCCCATGTAAAAAGTTAGAAATCAAAGTTCTTAAAATGGGGTAAGAAGCATTAGAGGCTAATTACGGGAAAACAGAAAAAAGATTCAGGGTGTTTGTAGCCCAGCCAGGGGAAACAACCTTCTCTGAAGACACCCCTACAGTTTTATCAAGAACCTTTAACTCCAGCAGAGGGAAGAAAGGGTGCTCGCTGGGAGTAGGAGAGATTCTCCAGTCCCCCTTACAGCACAAATCCATAACAGCCAGTGCATTTGTACTTAGCCAAGGTAAAAGCTAGATATAAATGCATGTTTTAAGAGCTATGTGAGTGCATGTAGCAATGATTATTATTTCTTCTGAAAGTGAAATGAACTCCTTTTCTGTATCTGTTACACGTGTCAGCTGATCAGACTGTAGGGTCACAACAATTGAAAAAGATTATTGAAAAGATTCTATACACAACATAGTAATACTCAGTCTCCTTCCCCAGTAGCCAAGAGAAGGTCTGTAGTTAGCACAAAAAAAAAAAAAATTAATTCAATTTTAGAGTAAGAAATTTAATAACTCTGCTTTTCTTTGGAAAAGAAATAATTAAAAAAACCTCAAATCTGTGATTGTTTGCTAAGTGTTCAGATTTTTGTGTTAAAAGTCATTTGATCGTCATTCTCTTGCAGTGACAGCCCAAGATTTCAATAGTTTACTGAAATTTCCTTTAGCTTACGGAAACCTTTTTTTCCTGCTTTCATGGTTGATAGCACAGTATGATAACCTTCCAGGAGTAATGGACTTGAGTGTCTGTGCAAGAAGGGGTTGCTGAATTATAAAGCTCTTTGCAGGTATGCTGTTTGATTGGGATCGAGTTAATTTTCTTCACAGTAGTTCATATGGTGCTATGGTTTGGGATTTGCAATGACAACGTGCACATAACACACCAACCTTTTAGCTGCAGAGGAGTGCTAACACTGAGTCAAGGACTTTGCTTCTCACTCTGCCCTGCCAGCAAGGAGGCTTGGGGGTATGCAAGCAACTGGGAGACAACACAGTGAGGACAGCTGAGCCCAACTGACCAAAGGAATATCTCATAGCACACAGCATCATGCTCAGCAGTGAAACTGCAAGGAGTTGGCTGGCAGTGAGCAACTGCATTTTGTATCGCTTGCTTTTGTTTTAGACATTCCTGTTCTGTTTGACTTCTTCTGTTTGTTTGGATTTTTTTATTGTTGTAGTTCCTTTGTTTTGTTGCTGTTTGTTGCTTCTTCCTCAATGAACTGTCTTTACCTCAGCTCACACATTTTCTAACTTTGGCCCTTCCAGTTCTCTTCCCCCCATCCTCTGGAGAAAAGTAAGCAGTATATGGTACTCTGCTGCCTACTGGGGTTAAACCACAACTGCAGGACAGCTGACATTCTAGATTAACTTGTCGTGTACCCACTAACAATCTGAAACTTTGCTACAGTCAACCCTATTTGAATTGATATGCCTTTTAACATGCCATGAAGAAGGCAAAGCACTATTAGTCTCAGATTTCTACTGATTTAATTCAGTAGAGTACACACAGCCTATATTTGTTTTAATTCATGCTTATGTTTGCTTAATTCTATTATTCAATACTTGTTGCATCTCGATAAGACTCATATCTACATCCCCACTCTTCCAATTGTGCCTTTCCATGCCCTATTTTTCCTTAGCAGGCATTTTCTTTACAATATATGAGAGCCTTCATAGGCTTTCCCAACCTTCCTCATTTTCCTGGTTGTGTAAATACGGTTATTTTAGTCCCAGACAAGTTGTATCAGTGTTGGTAAATTTAACTTGTCTTGGCATTTCTTCTGAATAAGTAGAAGAAACTCAAAAGGAATCTAC